TCAGCTAACACCTTACGTTCATGTGCGGACAATGGTTTGCATTGTGAAAGCGTCAGGCTGGCCCAGTGTACAGGCCAGTACCCGCCCTCAGCAGTAATTTAGCTGCACATTCAACGGCCCTCTTACGCTACACAAATTTGCGTTCGTAAACACACCACTCCTCCATTAGCACGGGTTCACTGCTCATCCCCGGCGGTTCCGAATATGGCCTTTAATTCGGGAAAACCATAAAAGAGCACTGTTGTTTTCTATTTGTTGCTCCTGATGATTGACTTGTCCCGAGGGTGTTACTTACCTGGCAACGCCAACAACAACAAGAGACAAAGAAACAGACCATTTATCCGTCAAAAAACTTAAGGATAGCCTGAAGATATTCTGTGATGCCCATGGCCTACATCAACATGCAAAGCTGTAGCTGCTGTAGAGGACAGCTTGTCAACAGTTCCCATGGCCTCAACATGCAAAGCTGTAGCTGCTGTAGAGGACAGCTTGTCAACAGTTTACTCCCGTTTCCAACCCCAAGTGACAGCCAATCAATCTACTGATTCCCCTTGGCCAGATGAACTGAAACCTCCTTGTTTTACTGAACTATTTTTATAACTCTTACGGACTTTGATCGGACATTGTGATTTTTGCGGTTGCTCGCCGTCGATATCCGCTTGGTTGTGACGATATCGATTTTGAGGCGAAGTGAACTGCGCTTTATCCTCAGGCTGGTAATTGTACCGCGGAGGAGAATCCGTTGAGGTATGTTGAATATGTATATTATTATATTTGCAATGGTACTGTGATTCCAGAATTTGGATTTCTTGGTCGTTTTCGTGGATTGGCACGCGTAACTCAAACTCAGAAAGCAGATAGCTGTAACAGTACTCAACGGTTCCAGTACTCAACGGACTCAGTACACAACGGCTCCAGTACTCAGTAGAGTACGGATCTAGTACACAACGATCTACGGACGCAGTACTGAACGATCTACGAACTCGGAGAAGATGGAGAAAGCCCCGTCAATGGATCTCTATCTACCGGAGGAATCGAGGCAAATCGGCCGTTTTGGCAATCCTTTAGCTATTGGTTCATCTCCCGGCTCTGACTCATCTAAGCATAGAAAAATAAAGTCGGTTGCGTTATCGCGAGCACAGATTAAGGCAGAGGAAATGGAGAAAGAATTGCAGCTTATGCGGGCGTGTAATGAGGTGTGTCTAGCGGAGTTAGAGTTGGATTCGGACGAGGATTCCGTCGTTGACGTGCAGTTTGACCCGAAGGGTAAAAGATTACCTAGCCGGGATAGTAAGTAGCACACCCATATGTGAGGCACCAGCGATCCAACCGACTTCTTGCCTGGTTAAGGCAGACCTACCTAGAGTGGACTTAGAGGCCTTCGATGGCAACCCAAGGTGGTATCGGAGATTTATTCAACAGTTCAAATACTACATAGAGGATAGAGTGTAAGATAGTGGACAGAGGATGCTATATTTGATTCATTACTGCGGAGGTCTTGCGAAGGAAGCCGTGGCTGAATGCTTAATGCTGCCTCTCGAGACTGCTTACGCTAGAGCGAAGGAAATACTTAAGGATCTCTTTGGGAGAGAACATATGGTGGTCAGAGCCATACTGGACGATCTGTTCAAGAAATTGAAACCGTTGCATGACGATGCAGATTCATTTTCTCGTTTGTCGATAAATCTTCAAAACCGTCACGTTGCTCTGAGTCAGATGAATCATACTAATGACATGGATTCCTTCTCGACCGTAGAGAGTATTCTCCGTACGTTATCGAAGGATGCTCGTCGGAACTGGGCAAGGTTGGCTGAATCTATGGACAAACTTGGAAAACAGATAGGTTTCTCTGACCCATGCAACTTCGTTTCTCGAGAGGCCCGCATTGCTCGCAGCCGCTATGGTATGCTTACCATAGGCTCAGAACACCATCGTCCTCAAACGCAGCATCATCGGGTAGGCAATGGAAGGCGCCATGGTGTATTCGCCGTTCAGAAGGGAACCGATGACTCGTGCCCTTTTTGTGACGGAAAACACGGGCTGGCGCAATGTCGTAGATTTACTGACTTGTCAATGCAAGCAAGATGGCGTGTGGTGCGAACGAAGCGGTTATGTTTCGTATGCCTAAAACCGGGCTATGCCAGTAACAAGTGCGATTCTCCTAAGAAGTGCATTATAGGGAGCTGCTTGGGGTCTCACCATCATCTGTTGCATGTAATGCCGGATGCCAACAAAACCATATTGGTTGGTTTGGTGCAACTCGACATCTCAGACGGGATCAGGAACCTGCCTTGGCGTCGTACCGGTTCGTGTGAATGGTCCGCAAAACAACGTTCTCACGTACGCATTGTTGGTTAGTGGGTCGGACGTAACATTGGTTATGAAGGACTTGCTTGATGAGGTTGGTCTGACCGGCAATCCAACAACTTTGAATTTATCGACAGTGAGTGGGACCTCTACTGTAGTGGCTGTAAGTCTCAGAATGGAGTTTGAATCGGTAGATTCAGGTGAGACCTTAGCGGCTGAACAAGCCTTTGCAATACGCTCTCTACCCATCAGCCCACCGGTCATGAGCCCAACGAAGATAGATAGTCAATATGATCACTTGAAGGACATTACCCTTGTGGAGCTTCCAGATAAGTGTGTGAGAATATTGATAGGAGAGGACGTTCCAGAGGCACACTGGTCTATGAAGAAAAGTTTGGGCAAGCAGAAGGAACCCTGCGCTCTAAAGACACCTGTGGGTTGATTGTACTTGGTCCGTTGTCTATAGTACATAGAGTCTGGAGACATGTGCATCATGTAAGTACGAAAGATGATAACATTACTGCTCTGTATGAGGCTGATTTCAATGATTTGGAGACTCCGGGCTTATGCCAAAGTGTCGAAGACAAAGAAGCGCTTCGAATCGTTGGGGAGTCTTCAGTATTCAAGGATGGTCATCACGAAGTACCATTGTCGTGAAGAACGGCTGAAGGACTTCCTGTCAATTATCGTCTAGCCCATTCTCGGTTGCAATATATGAGGAGGCGCTTTGCAAAGGATCTGACTCTGTTAGTGCGATACAGAGAACGCATGAACGACAACATCATTAAGGACTACCTTGAACCTGTACCAAATCATCAACCTAAATCAGGGAACGAAAGGAAGTGGTATTTATCTCATCACCCCGTTTTGAACCCGAAGGAACCAGAAAAGCTGCAAAACTGTCTTAGATTGCACGGCCAAGTTTAAGGGTATATCCCTGAACGATAGATTGTATCGAGGTCCCGACACTACCGCGAGTTTTTTTAGAGTTCTTTCGCGCTTCCTGAGTGAGTACCTTGCTATGGCTGCAGACTTTTCCGAAATGTTCATGCAATTAAAGGTTCCCGAAGCCGCAAGGGTGGCGGAAGAGGATTTGCGTTCACAAGAACAAACTACTGGACGGTTTCAACTATAATGCTTCACTATATACGGAACACTGCCACTCGCTATAGTACCTTCGTGGCAAACAGAATCTCCACGATTCATCAGTTGTCATCACCCGGTGATTGGCGTAACGTAATGAGTGAGGATAATCCGGCATACTTGGCCTCTAGAGGAGTAAGTTCTCTGACTGCTCTTCGATACTGGTTCAAGGGGCTGGCCTTTCTGGAAGCGTCCGAGGCCCAATGGCTACGCTACGAACCAAATTTCATACCAGAAGGAATAGAATTGAAGACGAAACGTGCTTCGGTTAACGTGACTACTGCTTTGGGACCAACTGGGTTGCATCGTTTGATGGAAAGGTGTTCCGATTGGTCTAAACTTCTGCGATCTGTGGTATGGTTGACAAGGTTTAAAACATACCTGAGAATGATGGCAAGCGGCTCAACTGAATCCTCACTGAACGTTGAATGATTGAAACTCACGGAAGTGAGGCAAGCTGAGCGTGATAATATTCGCATGGTTCAGAAGACGGTATATCCAGCAATCATGCTGAAATTAGAACGCGCCGGTAAGGTTGACGAACGAAGTGTACGCAACCACAAACTAATACGCTTATGCCCGATATTGATGGGTGGCTTGCCATGTGTAGGAGGTAGGTTGGATATCCTTTTGTGGCCGCATGTTGCTAAACATCCTATCATACTACCTCCGAAGCAGAACGTCACCAGCTTGATAGTTTGGAACGCCCACGTGCTGAATGGGCATTGTGGACTATCGCATACTTTAGCGGAACTGCGCCAAAGATATTGG